GAACGTGATGTTACTTTGGTCATCTTGAGGAAAATAATTCGAACAAGACACTAAGACGTCATTATTTTATACATAATCAATTGTAGCACGTGAGGAAGGATACTTAACCTATTGATAAAAAGTCCTATTGCAATTTGAATATATGTGGAACAACTGTTCGTGTTACAACATTTAACCAATAATCAAACATGTTGAAACCAAAGTACCCGTATCATATTGCCATGCTACTCAGTATCTAAACTCTGCGCATATCACTAACATTTTATTTAAGACATATCACCATTGTATCATTAAGAACATAAAAACATAAGAATTAGGAGCAGGAGTAGGCCATTCAGACCTAACTAATTATCTGCCCTATCCCCATATCCCATAATCCCTCTATTTTTTAAAAATCTTTGTAGGATTATGACAGAGGCCCAAGGAAAATCAGACTGGATCAAAAAACACATCCTAACTGAAACTAAACATCTAAATGTCACTGGAAATTTTAAATAATAATAATCTTTGCATTTGATGCAGCACCTTTAAGGACTCTGAGGAGTTCCCTGCATGAAGAGCGCCATACATGTCATTTATTGCTGTTATCAAGTTGAAAATGTATCAAAGCACTTCAGAGTTCTCCTGAAAATTGTAGTGACTGTTTTTGTAGACAAAACAAGTTCACTAGAGAAAGTATTCTAATTTTGTTGATGACAGCCCTGCACAGCAAACAGCACAGATGAAGACACCCCGAGAGCTTATTTTCTGTAGACATTTTCATACAAAATATTGTGACTTGACTTTACAATATATCCTGTGAAGCACTTTGAGACATCCTCCTAATGTGAAAGGCACCATATGAAATGCAAGAATTATTATTTTTTTACTTTGAAGGCAAACGGGTAAATGATCAATTCCTTCTGTCTACTTGTAGTGACAACAGCAACCTTTATATTCTAATTGTGGACAGAGTGAACTTTCAGCCCAAGCACCTGAGGTCCCATAAAGCATAGGCGCTTAGAGATACGTTTGAAACTACTGAAGTGGAAACAGGTAAATTTGAACAGGGTGTCAAAGAGCCACGCATTTTTAGTCTGTGAATGATACGCTGTATTAGGTTGCATAACTGAAAGAAAACTAAACAAATTAGGAGCCTGCCTTGGGATGTCCTCCCGACGTGAAAGACGCCATACAAATGTAATCTTGTTGTTGTAGGAGTATTCAGGAAGGCAATTGTTTCTTTTTTTCCCCACAAGGCAGTTGTTCAGCCCAATAAGAGACTCATTTGCAGTCCATCTGTTCTAACCCATACTGACCTGTTTGAACACTTGTATAAGGTTATTAAAAAGCCTATTGTTCTATTATCATTAACATAATGGTTCTGCCGTTGGGCAATAGTTTGGATAAATTATTTAAAGCTGCCTGTAGCAAAAGATTTATTTCTAATTCAACTATCTTGTGCCTGTGCGCCTAAAGTAACACTCGGGTACAAACCTGAGACTTTCTAGCGCCTTTGGGCTTGTTTTACACTTAACATTCAGACCCGAAATACAGTTGTTGAAGAATGATTCTTGGTTATATCAATCCTTAAATGTCATTGTTAAACCTGTGGCGGATTTCCTAACAAAGATCATGTCAGTTCTAATTAGGAATCAAAGTAAGCTCCCAACTGCGGAAAGATAGCCTTAGTGTGATCAGAATGATTGTCAGCCACTTACCTCTCGTCAGAACAGCAGTTCAACACCAAGCTTTATTTGACAGTTCAGGTTTGTGCATTAAAGGAGCCTCTGTGATCTATTTGATGCAGAGATTTAAACTTCACACAAGCTGTACTTGAGTGAAAAGGTAGAAGTGGGGGTGGGTGGAAAAATAAAAGGTGCATTTTAAAAGTGACCATCAAGTTAAAATCAGCTGCAATTTTAAAAGACCCAAAGCACTCAGCTGTCAAAATGAATAAAATGGCCATTGAAATTTTTTGCTTTGATATTGTACCAATAATATGGTTATTTGTACGCCATATTGCAAATAAAGCCAATGTGTTTAGTCTTTAAACTATTGGTCTGTGGTTTGCTTTTAGTTCTGAATATAATAGCATGACCCAAGAAAACAGACCCAATATGGAAAGAAACCCAGCATGCAAAATAGTTCCTTATTATAATAATCCTTGCATTTGATATAGCACGTCTTCTAGATGCCTCAAAGTGCTTCACAGAAAATACTGTAAAGTGAATGGACTGTATTTTGAGGGCGAAATGTGGCAGCCAAATTGCGCAGACCAGTGTCCCACAGACAGTCGTGGATTGAAGTGACCAATTTATTATTGTTTTTTTTCTTGAAGGATTATTATTAGGCGTGCGGAGTAAGGAAACTTGCCCAAGGTTTCGCCGGGAATATAACCCAGGTCTCTTGCTTGAGAGGCGATGGCTCTAACCACTGAGCTACATTATCAACTGGTCCAACAATTAAAACAATAGTTTCCTAATATAGGCACCACTAGCTTTCAAATATAATCCAGAGAAAACAGCATTACTTATTAATTTGAGTTACATCAAATCCAGGATATTCACAGCATGTGCCTTTTCAGCTGGAAGGAAAGGCAGCCAACTGAGATTTCAGGTCAGTTGTTTGATCGGCGAAATTCATTTTTTTAAGTCTAATTAAAATCTGAACACAATCCAATAGATAGGGAGTGCCATAAAATTGAACACTTCAGAAGAACAGATGCATCAAAGATTATAAATAATAAATACAAATCCCTGCAATTGATAGTGCATTGTTGAGACTTCTCAAAGTGCTTCACAAGACTTACTGTAAAGTGCAGTGACATTTGTTGGAAAACACAGCAGCTAACGTCCCATGAACAGCTATTAAGTGAATGACCAATTTAATCTAGGAGATTGCTGGCCAGAAAATCAGAATAAATTCCCAGCTCTTTCCTAATAGTGCCATGGGATTTTTAATGCTTACCTAAATAGGCAGACCTAGGTTTTAATGTCTCACTTGAAGGATAGCTCCTCCATCAATGCAGGGCTCCCCAAATAGTGACTGGATGTCAGTCTAGGCCATGAGCTCAAATCCCCTTTGGGGCTTGAACCCACAAACGTCTGATTCATAGGCGAGAATACTACCAATGCTACTGAGAATGCTAGAGCATTTTCTACATATAACTTTTTGAAGTTCACTTTGACAAGCATCGTAGTAACATTGCAATGTAGAGAACCTATGCAGTCCAATGGCTAGTCCTGTGGAAGTGCAGAACCATTACAAGTGAGAAATGTGTTGTGAGAAATGGATAAAAGTATTTCAGTGTATATACACACACACATACACACACAAAGGTTTTCATACAAAGTTACTCATTCCAATGCATATCTTTTCTTTGTATAAAATTGTTTCAATCCTACTCAGTCTGCCTCTGATTTCTTCTGTTACTTTGATAACTTGTGTTAATGCAGTTTGTTGCTCTTGTTTACTTGGAGAAGCTCAAATAAGTGCCTGCATTTATTTTTCGATCACAAATCCTATTGGGTTCCCAAAGTTTTAAAATTACATGAACAGAGTTACATGTTTTATGTGACACAAACATATCTATTACTTAATCATGGTGTGCTCAGCATACTGCGCTACCAAATGCACACAAAAGATTAATGTGTTTCACTATTGCCTGAATTAAGCACACTTTAACTTCCATATCCTGCATTCACACACAAGCTACAGTACTTAGCCTCCTAATTTATGACATGTCATGATTGACAATTTATCAAACAGGATCTTCACTGTTCAACATACGATTTAGTCAGAATATCTTAGACTTTAACATTTTCTGTCCCAAACCCAGAGTGTGAGCATTTTTCTTAAAATATTAAGGCTGCTTTCATGAAGTCTGAAAAACAGCTGAACATCACCAACGCATGATTTGAGGGTACAGGTATGCAGTTTTAAATTTTGAAAAGTATATTAAAAAAAACGACTTAAAAGACTCTTAAGCTTCTTCACAATTATGTTTGACAAAATATTGTATTCCGAACACATTTCCACTTCTGAAAAGATTAAGAATGATAAAGAACCTAACAATTTATTTCTTGGAAGTCACTGATCAGATTTATTTTATATAAAATTCAGAATACAATTGAAATCCACCTTGGTTTCACACTGCTATATACACACACATATATATACATATATATATATATGTATGTGTATATATCTAACATACACTTCAGTTTCCGGGTGCCTTAGGGCGATGCTGCCAACCTATGAGGAACAGACAACACACTTAAGTGCGGCCCTCAAATGCGGAAACTCAAAAAGGCTCAATCCATCAGTTCCGGGTGTTAGTGCTCAAGAGATCATAAAATAATTCAACCCCTTTCGATTTGCTAAAACATCATCACCCTATTTCCAGGCGGTAAATCAGCCCTAAAACCCGGTGGCCGATTCCTCCTCCGCAATGCAGTGCTCTTAACTCTCTCGGCGCAAAAATCTCGACTCATGTGGTGCATTGTTTTTTTTAAAAAAAAAGAAAAAAGGCTCCAGTTTAATTAACCGTTTTTGAAATTGCGATGTGTTATTGTTGGGTGAATGAAATGCCTGGAACCCATTTGGCTGCTGGTAGTGAAGTGGCTGCAGGAAAATCAGGGGGTTCTCTCCTCCCCCCCCACACACACACACACACACACAGGCCCGGTGCAGGTCCCCGAGGCTGAAGCAGAGCCGGGGGGGGGGGGGGGGGTGAGAGGGAGGTTAAGAGCCCCGACCCGGTGAAGGGCAGCTGAGAGGAGGCCCTGGACACCGCAAATGGCTTTCCCGGCCTAACGCCGGGGCTCCGGTGGTGAACATAATAGTCAGTCAGTCAGTCCTTCCCCCTCTGCCGCCCAGGCTGTGAGCGGCGAGCTGGGCCTCTCCCTCTCCCCGCAGGGTACCCGGCACTAGGCCGCGGCCCCCCCCGCCCGCCCGCACGGCAAACACGAAGCGAAAATGACTGGGGGGGAGAGGGGGAAACGGAGGGGGAAACTCACCACCAGGACGAGGAGGTAACGTATAAAGCCAGAGCGAAGAAGCCGCGCTGTAACTGTCATGGTATTGGAGCCTGGTGGCCGCACTCCGCCCTCGGTGACACTCTGCCCGAAAACGTCCTCCCGCTCGCTCGCTCGCTCCCTCAGCCCCAACACCGACCGACCGACCCTCCGCTCGCTCCGCAACCGGGCGCTCGCTGCACAGCAACCGCTCCACGACCCGGCGCAAGGACAGCCTCTGCTCGAGCGCGTCGCGCGCAGGCACATCCGGCGGGGGGGGGGGGGGCAGCGCGCCGCGGAACGCCGGGTAGTGTAGTTCCCCCGCCGGCGTGGCGACCGGCCGTCGGGAAGAGCGCCAGAACTCCTATGACCGGAGTGCACCGCGCGGGCCGCGAGCCGTTGGCAGCGCGAGAGACTACAAACGCTGGAATGCGGCGCGCGAGGGGGGCGGGGTCTGAAGAGCCGTTACGAGGCCTGTGGACGGGACGGGAGTGAGTGAGTGAGTGAGCGAAGGAGGTGCTCTGTGGGTGAGTTGATAATCTTCGCTGATCGGTATCAGTAACGAGTGTCACATTGGGACCGAGAGAGCGCGAAGGGAACCGGAGCTGCACGATTCATGTTCAGCTGTGGGGCTGAATAGTCTCTCACACCCGCCCTCCTCCCTCCCTCCCTCTCCCTCCCTCCCTCTCCCCACTGGCTGTCCTCCCGGCGTGAAGGGCTTCCTTCCCACATGCAGTTTGTTGTTGTTGTCAAAGGTTCGCCACTCGTTACCGTTGCACTAAAACCGCCCCGTGGCGGCGGGGAGGGGAGGGGAGGGGGGGAGGGAGGGAATTGCGTGAACGCCATACACACCCCTCGGTGTGGGACACCGCCGGTGAAGGTCGGGAGTTATGGAAAGAAAACTAACTGCCGCGGTTTAAGTGACGTGGTGTGGAAGGACCTGCGTCGAGGCGGCCCCCAAACGTCTTTTGCCTCTCGCTTTTCAAAGAAGTTTCCTTCAAAGTGTACTGACTCTTCGATGTTGTTCGGAGCAGAACCACAGCAAATGGCCTTCCAGCAGCTGGAGAGTGAGTGAGTGAGTGAGTGCCCAGTTCTTGTCTGGGGGGAGGGGTGGGGGTGGGGGGGGGAGAGTGTTGGATGGATCACTGGGAGAGAAACTTCCTTCCAGAACAGGACCCGTCTCATCCAAAGTCGGGTACCTCTCGACAATACATCACCCATCTTGAGATGGGGCTGAATGGATTGCTCTTTCAAAAAAAAAAAGCACAGACAATTACTGAGTCTTCTTTGCTGTCAATTTCTATGGTTCCAAACAGCAATGTTTTTCTTTTGAAACAAAACTGCACATTTGTCCAAATTGACCACATTATGTTCAGCATAATTATTATTAGCATCATTTTTCAAATCCTCAACTGAAAAGGTGCACCCACAGCTCCAAGACTTGGGTTTAACGATCCTTACTGACAGGAAAGATGTGTTGAAGTATTGAGGGACCTGTGAAGTAAATTCCAATCCCAAATTATTGCTGTTGTGGCACTAAAGGTTGGTTACATAGTCCACCGAGGGCCAATAGTAATTTAAAATGGCGATTTAGTAACTGTCTTCCATGGGGGGCGAAGTGGGGTGGTCTTGTAGTTCCAGAGCCTAGGGGCTGAGAGGCTGAAGGCCCTACCATCGGTGGTCGGGCCTTCAGCCTCTCAGCCCTGAGGCTCTGGAACTCCATCCTCCAATGCCTTCGCCGCCTCCTCCCTTTCCTCCTTCAAGGCCGGTCTCAAGACCTTTCTCTTCGACTGTGCCTTCAGCTCCCCTCTCGACTCTCTACCCCCTCCTCGCTCCCTCCCTTCCCCTAACCATTTCCCCCCATGGCTCGGGTCCTGACCCAACTGTCCAGCGCCTTGGGACGTCCTCCTGACGTGAAAGGCGCTCTATAAATGGAATCTTGTTGTTGTTGTTGTTGAATCGGCTCAGAGCTATGTGCTTGGTGACAGAATGTCAGAAACAAATCATTCCTCTCTGCGTCTCTGATGGTCTGGTTCCTGAGCCAGGTGGGTCCACATTTTAAGGGCACTACTGAAGATAGGCAAAGCTCATCAGCAGGACTTGGAAATTATAGACCAGTAACTAGGGGTAGAAATTCTTCCCACTCCGCTCCTGTTATCCTTGCAAGACAAAGTCCTAATGGGTAGGATTGACCCAGCAGGACAGGCAGCGGGAAACTTGCCAGACAGTGCTTTCAATGCACTAGAGGTCTGTAAGCCTTGGCTCTTCCAACCTGCGTCAAATAATCTCTGGAATTAGGAAAACAAGAGGCACCTCTTTGGGGAGAGAGTTTGCATTCCATTCTAGATACTGAAATTTCGACGTGTAGAAAACGAACATAGAACTGTCTGGTTTGGATAGTCTTAAGCAAGGTGATGGGTTTCCGCATGTGTCAGATGGCCAGCTCAGGAAAAAAAAGTGATACAAACATTTTTGAGGTTGTGCTTCAGAACTACTCTTACATTTTTAGTAGAAGAGAATGAAAAGGGTGTCTGTCAGCCATGAATCAAAGATTATAGTTACCTGTGGATAAATTCAAGACAGTACTAATGGAACATTTTGGATAACTCGGCAAAATGTGATAAACTGTTGCACTTTTAAGTTTAGATTATAGCTATTCAGTCGCTTCTGCTATTTATAATCCATAATGTTTTGATTTGTTATGGAGTGTTACTCTGTTTTGCACTTGCAGTAGCTGTCAATGTGATCCATGTCTCTGACATATGCAAGCATTAATACAAGATGATTATTGATTGTAAAGTTTTTAATCCTAGGTTATCTGTATCCAGTCTTAGATTAATGATCAAACTGTCCTGTCTGAAAGATCTATCTGTCAGACATGGATGGATAATTTAGTCTCAAATTCAGTTTTATTTTTATATCAAATTGATACAAATTGTCAGCAGGTGCTTAGGAGATCACAGAGGTAGGGAGGAGCAAGGCCATGGAGGGCTTGAAGTTGAGGACCAAGATCTTGAACTGAATCCTCTGAGTGATGGGGAGCCAGTGGAGGCGGGTGAGGATGGGGGAGATAGGGTCACGGAGCCTGATGCAGGAGAGGATCAGGCTGCAGAGGTCTGGATGATCTGCAGTTGGTGGAGGAAGGAGTTGGGGAGGCTGACAATAATAATCCTTGCATTTGATATAGCTCTTTTCACGACTTCTCAATGTCTCAAAGCGCTTCACAGGATAGACCATATATTTGCGGGCGAAACGCAGCAGCCAATTGCGCACAGCAGTGTCCCACAAACAGTCATGGATTAAAAATGACCAATTTATTATTTTTTTTGTTTTGGAGGGATTATTATTAGGCGTGTGGAGTAAGGAAACTTGCCCAAGGTTTTGCTCTGCCTGGAATTGAACCCAGGTGTCTCGCTTGCAAGGCGAGTGCTCTAACAACAACAACAAGCTTTCATTTATAGAGTGCCTTTCACGTCGGGAGGTGAGCTAACCACTAACCACTGAGCTACAGGACTTGACAAGTAAGGAGTTTGTGTAGTCGAGCCTGGATGTGATGAATGCATGGATGAGGGTCTCAGCGGCCTGCAGTGAGAGATGGTGGCGGAGCTAGGCAATGTTGTGGAGGTGGGGAAATGGAGAGTGGGTCACATCATGGATGTGGGGGATGAAGGATACTTGAGTGTACAACAATACGCTGAGGCTACGTATTGGCTCCGTGAGGTGTAGAGTGCATCCATGAAGGATGGTGTTGTCAGGGCCCAAGGTATGGAGGCACTGATGGGAGCCAAGCAGGAGGGTCTCAACCTTGTTGATATTCAACTGGAGGAAGTTTGCTCTCATCCAGGACTTGATGTCTGACAGACAGTTAGAGTACAGCAGTGGTCCTGGAGTCGAGGGTGGAGGTTGAAAGGTAGAATTGGGTGTCATCCGCATACATATGGGAGTTGACCCCATGTCTATGGATGATTTCACCAAGAGAGACCATGTAAATGTTGAAAAGGAGGGGACCAAGGATAGAGCCCTGAGAGATGCCACACATGACGGCGCAGGGGCTGGAGGAGAAGCCATTAGTGGCGACGGTGGGAGAGGTAGGTTTTGAACCAGACAAGGGAAGGTTGAGCTGAGAGGAGAGTCGGTGGAAGAGGAGGATAGAATCGTCGAAGGCAGCAGAGAGGTCGAGGAAGACAAGAAGGCAGAAAGAGCCCTGGATGTAGGTGGACTGAATGTCATTCGTGACTTTGACCAGTGTTGCTTCCTGCGCTGTTGGCATCACGGAAACCTGATTGAAGGGGTTCATAGAAGGAATAGCAGGAGAGGAAAGAGTGAAGCTATGACGCAATGACTTGTTCCAGGGCCTATTTTATTTTGTTTATATTGTTTAAAAATGCTTAAAGTTAACTTTTTATGCTATTGTATAATAAAGCATAATATTCATGACCTCATTGGAATAAACGGAACACACTGTAAAGAGAATTGACTGTATATTTGTGGGCGAACGTGGCAGCCAAAACCAAAACCTCCAAAACCAAAAACAATAATAAAAAAGTGACCAATTTTATTATTGTTTTTGGTTTTGGAGGGATTATTATTATTATTATTATTAGGTGTGTGGAGTAAGGAAACTTGCCCAAGGTTTCGCTCTCCCTGGAATTAAACTCAGGTCTCTCACTTGCAAAGCGAGTGCTCTAACCACTGAGCTACAGGACTCCACTTACAATATTCTCTGCAAAGTAAAATATTTTGTTTGATGATAAATGGACAAAGGAAGGAAATTATTTAAATTGGCATATTTCTTTCCACCCTTGAGACTTGCTGTTCCTTTGAAATTATTTTTTATTTCCTCTTTCCCTAATTTTATTTATTTAGGAGAGATGCTCATGTCACCTATTCGCAGTTCTCCTTCAATGCTGTTCTGGAACTCGCCACCAGAAAGTTACAACAAATTCTGAATTTTGCATATTTTTTGAATGCGCTCCCTCCATGTAAAAAAAATCCTTGCATTTGACAAAGAGCCTTTCATGTTGGGATGACATCTCAAAATGCTTCACAAGATTTCCTGTAAATTGCCATGACTGTATTTTGGAAGCAGGCAACTGAGATACCAATTTGCGAAATGGAATAATAATAATATTTGCACTTGATATAATGCTTTATCATGTTGTCAATGTCTCAAAGTGCTTCACATGATATACTGTAAAGTGGAGTGACTGTATTTTGTGGGTGAAGGCGCAGCCAGTCGTGCACAGCAATATCCCACAAATGCACAAATGGACATAGAGTGAATGACCAATATTATTTGGGGGGATTGATGGCCAGGACACAATGAGTAACTCTTCTCTTTTCAAATATTGCCATTGGTATTTTAAAGTCCATCTGAACAGGCGGAAGGGACCTTGATTTAGAATCGTATCCGAAAAACGGCACCTTCAACAATGAACCCTCCCCCCTGCCCCTGGCTCTATTTGACCCTTTTCTCTGAGAATGGATACTGGTGAGAATGGGAGAGTGGGACAAAACTGAATCTGTGGCATGTTCAAAATTGTGCATTCTCAAAGTAGCCCTATTTGTAGCACTTGGGGTTCAGTATTTGCCTTGCTACACATCCCTTCGAAAATGTTATAAATTTCATTTTGCCTGTAGGTTAAATAAATACATTATTTTTTTCAACAGCTACATCTGGCACTTTGTCACTCAATAATCTGCACACATGGCTGTTGTGCATTTTTGACTGCACCCTGATCCATCATGCCAACTGAAATTTTTGGCAGATCCATTGGCACTCTGGACATTCAGTGTTTCGGATATACTATATATATATATATAATATATGTAGTCAATACTGTCATGTATCCAATCCACTGTTTGCCTGACATAACATAAATCTTTATCACTCTTTTGACATCAGAAATTATAATATCCTTAATTAATATCATTAGCGAATGTCTCCTCATGTACAAATGCATAAAAAGTCACTTAGGACTGCAAAAATACTGTAATTGCATTATAAAATGTATGTATAAAAATACTGATGTTGCATTATAAAATGTATGTGAGTTTTCTAATTTAT